TTCTGGCACCCACCAACAATGTCCCCGTCCCACCCCACATAACACTTGTAAGTACGGTTGCTCTGGTGTCAACGCGAGCCAGGCAATGGAATCGACGACTTTTGCGTTCTGGCGCATCTTATCGGCCCTTATCGGTCGTTATCAGTTTCTGGCACCCACCAACAATGTCCCCGTCCCACCCCACATAACACTTGTAAGTATGGTTGCTCTGGTGTCAACGCGAGCCAGGCAACGGAATCGACGACTTTTCCATTCTGGCGCATCTTATCGGCCCTTATCAATAGTTATCAGTTTCTGCACCCACCAACAATGTCCCCGTCCCACCCCACATAACACTTGTAAGTATGGTTGCTCTGGTGTCAACGCGAGCCAGGCAACGGAATCGACGACTTCAGCGTTCTGCGCACCTTATCGGCCCTTATCAATCGTTATCAGTTTCTGGCACCCACCAACAATGTCCCCGTCCCACCCCACATAACACTTGTAAGTATGGTTGCTCTGGTGTCAACGCGAGCCAGGCAACGGAATCGACGACTTCAGCGTTCTGCGCGCCTTATCGGCCCTTATCAATCGTTATCAGTTCTGGCACCCACCAACAATGTCCCCGTCCCACCCCACATAACACTTGTAAGTATGGTTGCTCTGGTGTCAACGCGAGCCAGGCAACGGAATCGACGACTTTTGCGTTCTGGCGCATCTTATCGGCCCTTATCAATCGTTATCAGTTTCTGGCACCCACCAACAATGTCCCCGTCCCACCCCACATAACACTTGTAAGTATGGTTGCTCTGGTGTCAACGCGAGCCAGGCAACGGAATCGACGACTTTTGCGTTCTAGCGCATCTTATCAGCCATTATCAGTTGCTATCGCTTCCAATCATGTACCACCAATGTCCCCGGGACCGCCCCACATAAGACTTGTAAGTATAGACGCTCTTTTACCAATATGAACGGCAAAACGAAATTGGCGATGCTCGCTTTCTAGCCCCTCTTATCAGCTATTATCAGTCGTTATCAGTTCCTATCACGTACCACTTGTGTCCCCATCCCACCCCCTATAACATATGTAAGAACCACTGCGCTATCGTTACTGTGACTCGAGCTATGAATTTCCGGTCAAACACACACACACACACACCAACAGACACACGCTAGCCGCTTATATATAGTAGGATCGAAAATTTGGAAGTTTACACAAACATTAAGAAACTAAGAAGCTTTGAAAATTGGCCCACCTTCTTAGTTTTTAAGCTTATGTCGAAACAATTCCAAATTTCATAGTTATGCGAAAAAGTTCATGATCTTGCACAACATTATATCTAACGTTTTTGATAACAAAATGAATATATGTCAAGTATTTTAGAAATGACTGACACTTACCTAGCAGCTTGCTGAGACCAGCGCCGATTCATTGTTGTACTTGATACAAATACTAATGTAACAGCAACCACATAGTATATGGAAGGCGAAACACGTGATTAGGAAGTAGATTAGATCGTCTGTAAGTAAGTCGTACAGTGGTAGTAGAAATATGTCTGTTGCAGCGTAATGCATGGCATTTAATTTTCTGGCAATTGCACCGCCAAGTCGAAAGGGGAAAAGAATGATTCCACGTAAAGAAAGGAAGCGGCGAAGAAGTAGGAAACTCTATTCTAGTGGAAGCGGAAGCTGTTAGCGTCCGCGGAACCAACACGCAATTCGGCATCGAAGGATATGTCCCGGCGATCTAGCGGCCCCAGTTGTCTCAAGAACACCCACGATATTTAAACTACGCCCGCAGTTCTACACGGGCGTTGGATTAGGTAGTGCAGGAGTATTTTGCTCAAAGAGGGCACAGCGATGAGAGTTGCATCGATACGGGAACTCAACAAGGCAAGAAAGGGTCACATCGTGGGTCCTGAAGCCATTGTCCATGTTTTCTTCTTCAATCCCTGCTTCACTCAGAACCTCTAGCCTTTGACTTCAACTGCTTTTTCTCGTAAAAATCAGCTGGGATATAGCCGGCTTGTGACTCCTCAAAAAGTAGCCCTAGGAGGATACTTTAGTGTGAGAAAGGTAGAGAAGCGTAACGCTGCTGCAGCACCGTATTTGGGCGTCCAAATTCAACGACGTTTTACCATGCACTTGGGTTCGTCCACAATCTGAACATCCGGTCATACCGCCAGTTCTCCTTACACATTGTCAGAATCTCTTATCTTGCTGTTTGTTTGTTGGAACCCGTTCAAGCCTCGAGAGACGAGACCTTGAATTTTAGGGTTTTTCGAGGGTTTCTTTTCTTTTTTTCTGTGCTATCGATCCGTTTCGCTTCTCTACTTTCATTTTCCAGCGAAATTACAAAACAAGCTTGATCCTGGGGCGTACATTCAACTGGACACTAAAATAATATCATTCATATGTCAATATTCTGCATTCATTATTATTCGAATAAAACTTGCAACATTTTTGACATTATATGACCGGTCCTTTTCTCGAATAGTAACAAGTAGATAATGCAGGATAGCTGCTAGATCTGGTCAGACTCATTTAGCGGAGTCTTTCATTCGTAGGCGTTGCAAGATTAGATGTACGAGTGGCTCTCTACAGGGCACCCATGAAACATGTTGTATTGACACAAAACCGGTAGTTCCTTGGGGAAAGAATTCAGCAACAGAAGTGCCACATGACCCATTAAGACCTTGACTGCTCCAGCAGAGAGCGTGGATTCAGGGAAGTTGGGATTAAGTGTCGACTTCTCGGTACGGGACATGTGACACTTTCCACTACCCTAAAGTGCTGTTTGTATACAAGGCGGAGTATAGACTTCTGAGACACTTGAGCTTTTTCCTACACGAGTCGTAAAAACTGATACAGGTGGTTTGGGTTTCTTATACCTCTTTATCCATCTTCAAGCGAGATTTGGCTGACCTCGGTTATCTGACGTGTACTAACGCTACACATTGATCAAAAACGTTTTAAGACCACTTCGGGTCTACATTTCAGGGTATCCCGAAGAAGTACACGATGTGGGTTGAAAACAGCGTTATTAGGGCTTAGCGTTGAACCTTTGACCTAACTAATGTACGGCTCGTAAGTTCAAGAAGACTCAAAACTTCTATGCAGCGTCAATGTTAACGAGTTTATCCCTCGATTCTCCAGTAAGCAAGAATTTCGTCGGTTACGTCTACCCAGCAGGGGTCCTATTTAAAGAGAAAAGGCTGGCTATTTGAATCATTCAACAGACATTCTAGGAGCGTTTAATAAAACAAGGCTTGGATAAAAAACCGTTAACCCTTGCGCGCGGGCGGTAAGCGCAACCCATTGCTTCCATGAGCTGTATTGTGGGTGTGGGACAACACCATTTTTTAGAAGCGATGAAATGTGAATATGGCAAATGGCACTTTTTATGCCATTACTTCTTTGTTGCCATATTTATGGTGCACCCTGTAAAATATCTCCAGCTGTCCGCTGATGTCTTTGTTCTCTAACTGATAAACAGAAAATTCTGGGGAACAGATGATAAGAAAGTTGGCCGGGATTTGATTATGAGATTCATTCATGTTTAGCGATTTCTTGAGCCGAACGCCGCCTAGGAAATAAGAGGATTTTTGATAAGGGTAATAAAGCGCTCCCGTCGCAGCGGTAAGGATGGGCAATGGTGGAACTGCCACTGTTTTGCAGTGGGAGGGGGGGTGGGGGCATGGGTAGCGAGGTTATCGCTTTTCGTCAGAGTAGTTTATCATGATTTTTTGAGAAGTTTCCAGGATTTGCCTGACAAAAAAAAAAAAAAAATTGTACTATTTATGTGAAGTGGTGGGAATGAGTGCGCTTTAGTTTGGAATTTAGATAAAAAAAAAGAAGCTCCGGAACACATCCTGTTTTTCCGAGGGGTCGCATCATGAGGAAGATCCCAATCAGGGATGAGGAAAAGTGGACTCAGGTTATTCAGAGTGGAATAGTAAGCGCTGAAAATAATGCGAAAGCAAGATTTATCAAAATACTTGTTAACAGTTACTATGTGTAGAATTGACAAATTAAAAAATTGGAAATTATAGTACTCAATTAACCGTTTTTTTACAGTGGCTTTCTAAAGCAATTCACTTCAAAATTTAATAAAACTTCAGAGAAACACCAGCAGAAAACCATGCCCCACGTTTCGCAAAGAGGTTTACACGATCGTGGTAACCCCGGGACAAACGAATCAAGTGCTGAAAAAGATAACTGCCACGGATCCGGATGGAGATGTGCTGGTGTACTCGATAGAACCGCCAGAGTTCAGAAATCTTTTTGCTGTCGATGCAGAGGTGGGAACTGGTGCCAGTTCCTCTTCAACGCGCTGATGTGAAAATTATCCAAATCATTTCAGCGGCCAACTTTTCCGGACGGTACCGATCTCACTGAATTGAAAACCAGTCGCCTCTATAGTTTTCGGGTAGTCGCGAGGACCACGGGAGACCCTATCATGTCAACATTTACCAACATCAGAGTACGGGTTCAGGAGAACGATGCCGCTGTCGTCACCTCAAACGCGATAGAGGGCACCGTTTCGACGGTACCCGCACAGACGACTTCTCGTTTGCCATCAACACTTGGAGGGTCTTCCACAGGGAGCGAGAACTCGCTGGAGACTACTAGCACTCTGGAAACTACCACATCGACGACCGCTTCAACGACAACCCAGGAGGAGGCTGACCACACGTCACCATCAACTTCAGCACCTCCCAGAGGTATCATTTTTAGGCATTTCTAATGAATATATTCTCTTTCTTAGTGGTAGCAGTCGTTGCGTCAATGTAGACTTTTCAGAAGTGCATTTCACTCGGCCCAAATACACCTATGCGATTCGAAGTGATTCCCGAGTGGGTACATACTTGGGGCGAGTGGGAGTGGATGATAGAGAAGGGTGTGGAGCTTGTATTTGAGACCAGCAAGCTCTTTTCCATCGACAATGACGGTTCAGTTCGCACCGCTGCAACTTTTCGATGGTCCCATCAAGATTGAAGACAAAATTCTAGCTGTGAGACAGGTGAGGAATACAACCTTCTTTCCTTCTGATACCTTCGTGATTGTCATTGATCGTGTGTTCAGGGAACGATCGTGGCTGAGGCCGACTTTGTGGTGCACGTCATTGCGCCGGAGTCTGTCAGCGTATCGCCCACCACACCTTCCACCACTACGGGTGTGACCACTGACACTGAGGTTCCGTTTATCACGGGTACCTGGATCACGACCCCCGATACTGAATCCTCCATGGGAACGAGACCAAGCCCATCTTCGACTACTGTAGAAAACACCTCGAGGAACAAGTACTTCCATCAGTACAGGCATATTCGAAAGCACTCTGACGGCGTGGACGAATGCCGCGACAGCTGCTACCGCAAATCACTACGGAGGCGGAGCCATCCACAAGTGCTAGCTCCTCCGCTGGTTACGGTAACTATTCAGAGCACTCATCCTCACTACACCACAGTCACAACTGAGACTATTCCACCAACCCAGCCTTCTACCGGTAGTGCGGCTTTCTCATTCTCAAGGCCAATGTATTTCGCCTTTGTACCTGAAGGCCAGTACTCCAATGGGATCCGCTTGTCGGTCAAACCAGAGGCGTTTTCTGTAAATCGAAACACCACGGTACGATACGAGATTGATGACAGTGCAGGACGCGTACCGTTCTTTGTCACCACGGATGGACAACTCATCATCTTCGACGTAGACAGGGAAACGCGCTCGTCCTATATGTTCCCAATAAAGGTGAATTTTTCCCAGTTCTGCTATATGGGCCCAAAAATATCTCTAGTCAGGCCACTAGCCCCGAGTTCGGTACCGCTACTGCCATGGTGAATGTAACGATTCTGGACGTCAACGACAACTATCCAATGTTCGACTCCGCCCCTTCGGCTATTGGCGTTTTCAGTGACGTTGCAGTTGGGACACCGCTCTTGCACCTCAGCGCCCAAGATCGGGATGCTGATAACTATGGCACGGTCGTGTACGGTATTGAAGAGCCTGATACTCCGTTCGAAATCGACCCCAATGGTGAGTATCTCCGGCTGAAAAGATGACTTTCCCAGCTGGATTTCAATGTAACCCACTTTCAGATGGAACTCTCTTCGTCGCCAAACCGTTAGCGTCAAATTTGGTGACGGAATTCCCACGTTTACTATCTTTTGCACGCGGGACAAGGAAGAACCTTCGCCTGAGGTCCACGCCAGGTCAGAGCTCACCTTCATTTCCTCAGTTTTGATTCCTGATGCGTAGACACTTCCTTCTTTCAGATCACGTGCCACGGGTTCGATCACATCTGCTGAGGCACCAATTCCTTAAATGAACTACCACGAAAAAGGTGTTTGGGTGGGACGCAGAGCCTGGCGCGGAAGTGGTGACGATCCTTGCAGGACCAACAATCACCACAAAGCCCACTCAAGATAAGATACTGTACGGACTGGTTGACAACCACGGGTACGTTTTGAGAGTCAGCAAGAATGTACGAGTGGGAAAATGAGGAAGATGATTCCAGCGGTTTGTTCGAAATTGAAGACGGTGGTCGTTTGGTTTTGGGTCGCCGACCAACAGAAGCTGAATCGAATCGCTACGTTCAACTGAATGTCACTGCTGAAAACAGCCATGGCAAGACTTGGGTGCTGGTAAGTAATCTATGGACAAAACTCCCGTTTTCAACGCCAAATATCGAGAAAAAGGCCAGCAGGATAAAATTGTGGGCTTCGCGTTTATTTGAACCATGTGGCTGCTGCCCCTAGAAGAGTAGGTGGTGGATCACGATCAACCGCAACAGCAGGTGATTGCTACGTTTTGCAACAGGCAAGAATTGACCCACGTCAGTCACAGGCTGCAGTTGCAAAAACATTTATCAGGATTGTAAGGCACGTAATCCCAGGCCGAACAGTGGTACAGTGACCGTATAGGCATGGTCTCTCTGACCGACCAACAGTATCTGGTGTTCCTTCGAAACCCGCGCATCGGCGGGAACATTTGCTAGGTGCCGGGACATTAGCGATGGACCACTGATTTGGATGATCGCGTGTTCTTCTCAGTTAAGATCAAATTGGAATGTAAGTAGTGATTTTGGACTTACCGCATGTGGCGAGAATAGGATCATGTAATGCACCCAGGACCATCGTTCAACATGATTGTTTTGATAGTCCATTCGATATGGTGTGGGGAGGCATAAAGTTGCAAGGGCGTACCAACCTCCCAACTCCTGATCGCGGAATGCTTTCTGATCGACGTTATTGTGACGCTGTACTCCTCACTTATGTGCATCTTTCAAGGGTGCCTTTGACCTCAACTTCAATCGTATGGAGGACAAGGTGCGAGAGCATCGAGCAGCCTAGGTGGAAAACTCTTGAAAAGCGAGGATTTCCGGCGATTGGTGAAGCCTGCCCGCTTCCCCAGTCAAATCTATGGAGCACGTGTGGCGTGCATTCAGGAGAGCTATTGTAGCGCATCCCCATGCGCCAACAATTGTCCAGCAGTTGTCAATCGCGGTCTTCAAGGAATGGATCGCTTCTCCACAAGAACTCTTAACCAACCTTGTGGCCAGTATTGGAGCACGTGGCAGAGCATGCTTTGCAGTCCGTAGTGTTCATACACCCCATCAAGAACCAGCTCCTCTCTTTTGAATGTCTACCATGAGTTGGAGTAGCCTCACCCATCGACCGCTTCAGACAGGGTATTTGAGAAAAAAATGTTTTTCTAATCGTCCCGTTTGCGCTTTTCTGTTAGTAACTCTCTGCACTGTACCGCAACATTTACTTCTATATATGTGCCAAATTTGATCCACCTAGGTTAGCTAGCAGTGAGATATCATGTGAAAGTTACTTCCGTCCTTAAGTTTTGCACACCAGTGTAGTAAGACGTTCATCAACGAATGTTCGACCAAGCATATGAGAGCTTAGGTTGGAACCTCTACCGAGGTTTCGGCGCACAATCATATAAAAAGCGAACAGTAACCCGTGCGATTTGGCAAGGTTATTAACAAGAATTTGTGGGAACTAATGAACAGCTTTTGGGAAAACTTACAGACATCTGCAGGAAAAAGGCTTAGAATGTAGCCCAATGACCATGGGACACCCTCTAAGAATGCAGAAAATCGAAGAAATGAGAGAGAGTTATAATAAGAGTAAAGTGAGTATTACCGTTTGCATTCGCCTATGTCTACAACTATATCATGCATGGTGCACTTTTACTTACTTCAGCAACGTTTAATACTCTGATCTTCCCACTGTATCACCCATACATACGTATAGCCAAGCCCTACAGTAACCTTGCAAGGCTACGCGCCAGCTTTCGCTGAAACAAGGCATATTTGCCGTTCCGCGGTATCCTCTTTTATCCATGAGGCGCCTTTTTTTTATTTTATGGTTTCCTTTGACCTTTGGTGCGTAGAAATGTGACGGAAGTGGTAAACCGTGCATAAACATATTTGACAAGGTAGCATATTGTTGTTGTGCTTGATGACGAACAAATGATAGCTGTGAAACAGTGATAACGCGTCAATAATTTGCAGCTCTTCCCTTCATCTAACGTCCCAAAAATGAACTGAATTTCTGTGATTGTTCCACAAAACACCTCTGATGTCAAGGAAGCCGTAACAAATCTTTTTTTTCGGCACAGAAAATATAATTTAGCTATTACGAGAAAACGGATTCTGCGGTGCCAAAAAGTGACCTTATCGTGCACGGCCAGCAGATCAAATCCTACTTCTTAAGATTCCATCGCTCTATCAAAATTAAATACAATTGTAGAGTGGACTGAATCAAATGGAATGGATAAGCAGTGGAAGCCCTT